AGAAACAATGCAGGGCATCCCTGTCTGTGTTGAATGCGAAAATTGCCCCACACGCAAGTTCACAGCTCATCCAACACCTGGCCCCGGAGCAAAGAGAAGTCAGCATTAGCTGTGATAGCGCGCTGATCATTTTTGTTTGTACCGAAGTATAGGGTCTTCACTGGTATTTTCACCAAGGATTCTCCAAGAGAAGATGGGACAAAGACCCGACAGTTCTCGACCTCTTTTTGACCACTCAAATGCCTCTCTGCGCGCGCGTCCCGAGGCCACAGACCTCTCCACTTTGCGGCCCAAAAGGGCCACGTGGAGATCCTCGAGCGGCTCTTGGCCGCGAGGGCCACGCTGGAAGCAGAGGATAGGGACCGCCAGGGAGCCCCGGAGCTCGGGACGCGGCCCGAAGGCTGCGGAGACTGCGCCGACCGGATCCAAAGGGACTCATTCCGAGTCACGAGGGTCGGGCGGGTCGACCATCGTCGGACAGAACAAGTCTCCAAGATATTTGAACCGAAAGAGAGAGAAAAGAACTGACTGGTATAGTACTTGGGCCTCGCGAATCTTGAAGGTGAAACATGTCATAATGGTGCCCAGACTACAGTCGGAAAGATCATATACCAAGAAATTTAACTGAAAGACAGAAAAGAACTGGTACAGCGCTTGGATGTGACAAATCTCGAAGGTGTACAGTGTAGATGGATTGATGTTTGTGGCGTTCAATAGCCGATGCTTTCGCCTTCTCACCACGGCCAGTGAACTGAGGCCGGACGCCCTGGCAGCTTGCTAAAGAAAACAACAAGCTGGAGGCGATGGCCTTGCTTCGTCCAGCACCTCGGCGTGTCCAAGTTAGCGTCCGAGGTTCCAGGTTCGCGAGCTCATGGTTGCGTTGTTAGTCTGCTTCACTGTTTTTGTAAGTGGGTTTGTTGGAAGCAGATGCAACTTGTTGGAAGTGGCAAGTCACAGACGCAGTGAGAATCAATGTTTGCAAAGCGTATGCACTGCTTGGAATTTGTTTCCCTCTAGGAAGCATCCTGATGCACAGTCAGAGTGGACAATCGTAGAAGCCGAACAGCTTCCCACAATTTCCCACGCACATTGTTGCCCCAAACCTTGCTCACCCAGAATGATGGAACAATGTGGGGAGTACTGTTGAAGTCTGTTTGTGTTTGCGTACGTTGAATGATTCCAGGCTCTTTCCAAGTGATCCGCTTCGGGTCGCCGTAAACGGTTTGTGCTCTTGTGCAAGTGTATGTACAGAAATCCAGACAGCTGTTGGAATGGCGTCGTTTTGTGTCGTTACATTATCAGCAGATCACCACAGAACGGCCTGACAAAACTCAGCGGCAAGGACCTTGATGAGGACGGTGAGGAGCTCAGTCCATTCCCAATGGGCATTTGAAGCTGTTGTTGGGTTGTTCGACGCATGATTTATTAGTATATCCTACGTATCCTAGAGGCTTCTGTTGCTTTAAAGTGCACAGTAGCCGTTGTTTTGGAGCCTGCCTGCTGGATCAGCATGAAGACTCTTATACACTTTGAGAAGGATTGAACTTGAACACTTTAAGTCACTTAAGTATTTGATGTTCAAAGAGTGGTCTTCAGATCTCCCAAAGAGAGGTCTTCAGTCACTTTTCTGTCGTTTACACACACGGCAGCCTGAGAATTTGTGTGTGTGTCGCCTTCTTTTTCAACAGAAAAGACTCACATGGGGCTCTTGCAATCAAACAACTTGTGCATCGGGTGTTAGTTCCACGTCTCACCCGGTCGGATCGGAAGGGCTCGACGATGTTCAGTCGGGCCCGTGGATCAGGTCGTTCAGCCCTGCACCGAGCGGCTCAGCAGGGCGATGCGGCGCAGGTGCAACGCCTCATCGAAGCTGGAGCAGATGTCGAACTCGAGGACCAGACTGGTCGTCGCCAGGGGGCCTTGGAGACTCCGAAGGCTGTGGGACGAATATCCATCAGCCTTCCCACCTTGGCCACTTGAGAAAAGGGTTGCAGCAGCAGGTTTCACCCACAACAAGTAGAATCATGAGAAACAATCCAACGCGTCCCTGTCTTAGTTTGTGAATGCGCAAGTTGCACTACACTCACTACACCTGGCCCTGGAGCAACCCCAAATGAAGTCGTTACAAGCTGCGCTAGCGAGGCGTTCATTTTTTTCTACCCAAGTCGGGTCATGACCGGCATTATCACCAAGTAGAAGATTAGAAAGAAGACCCAGACCCGACAGTTCTCGTCCTCTTTTTGACCACTCAAATGCCTCTCTCCGCGCGCGTCCCGAGGCCAAAGACCTCTCCACCTTGCGGCCGAAGAGGGCCACGTGGCGGTCCTCGAGCAGCTCTTGGCCGCGAAAGCCACGGTGGAAGCAGAGGATGGGGATGGCCGGGAGCCCCGGAGCTCGGGACGCGGACCGAAGGCTGCGGAGACTGCGCCGACTGGATCCAAAGAAACTCACTCCGAGTCACGAGGGTCGGGTGAAGCGTTTCATGGTGCATGCTGGGTCGTTTATGTCGTCACCAGAAGAACAAGTCTCCAAGATATTTGAACCGAATGAGAGAAAAGAACTGACTGGTATAGTACTCTGGTCTCACAAAATTTCAAAGTATACTGGCACTGGGAGTATACTTGGATTTGTGTGGCATCCAAACTCCAGATGGTGCGTAGCAGAGGCTTTGTGTCTTTGACCGCTTTTATCAATCCGCTTTTCATCAACCTGAAACCATGAGATGTGGGGACAGGTCGTCTGCTTTGACCTGCCCCGAAAAGCCACATGGATCAACGGGATTCACGAGATGAAGTGTATTGGGGGATCTGATTAGGGAGAAGGATGCTTTCAGCATTGGCAGACAGGGAGAAGAATACTGGCCGATTGGTGGCAGAAAATAGCACGAAGAAGATAAACTTCCAAAGGCCATACGTTTGAAAGCCGTCCAATGGCAGCCCACGACAACCAGAATCATGAGAAACAATGCAGCGCATCCCTGTCTGTGTTGAATGCGAAAGTTACCCCACACGCAAGTCCACAGCTCATCCAACACCTGTCCCCGGAGCAAACAGATGTATTCATTAGCTGTGCTAGCGCGCTGTTCATGTTTGTTTGGACCGAAGTAGGGTCTTCACTGGTATTTTCACCCAGGATTCTCCAAGAGAAGATGGGACAAAGACCCGGCAGTTCTCGACCTCTTTTTGACCACTCAAATGCCTCTCTTTGCGCGGGTCCCGAAGGCCAAAGACCTCTCCACTATGCGGCCGAACGGGGCCACATGGCGGTCCTCGAGCGGCTCTTGGCCGCGAAAGCCACGGTGGAAGCAGAGGATGGGGATGGCCGGGAGCCCCGGAGCTCGGGACGCGGACCGAGCTGCGGAGACTGCGCCGATTGGATCCAAAGAAACTCACTCCGAGTCACGAGGGTCGGGTGAAGCGTTTCATGGTGCAAGCTGGGTCGTTTATGTCGTCACCAGAAGAACAAGTCTCCAAGATAATGGAACCGAATGAGAGAAAAGAACTGAACCATAGTATCTGAACCGCCACTGTATACCGCCACTGCAGATAGGATGATTTGCAGAACAGGAATGAATGAAACGCCCAAGGACGTAGGCAGCACAAAAACTCTCAACAGGTTCAGGACAGGTGTTGAATCCTGCAATTGTCCGACCTGAACGGGATTCAAGACATGATTTTGGGGGGAGACAAGGGAGAAGGATGCGTTTGGCAGAGAACTTGAACCCAAACAGCCTTTTGTAATCATACAAATCCAAAAGACCGTAAGTCAGTTTCAAACCGTCCTCAGTCTGCCTCCAGAACGAGCCCCCACCACCCCTTGCACCCGATAAACTGAAGACCATCTCACAGGGACATCGGTTATATAGGAAGTTTTGAACCTTGCCAAGGAAGCCCATCATCAGGCTGAACCCAGAACTGCCAATGCCCTGACTTCATTCAATTTCACCTCTCTAAGTGACCGTTCTAAATTGACTTGAAAGTTGGCTTTTGCGGCCTCACAAAGATTACTTTCGCGTGGCCTGAGGCGAGACCCCATTTGACGTGGCCAAGGAGAGGGGCAAGGAGAAGGTGATGGGTGTGCTGCGTCCTGTGCCTCGGTTCTCCAAGACTGGTCTTCATGTTCGGGTGATGTTTGGAAAGTTGCAGAAACTGCGACAGAAGGCAGTTGGCAGTTGACAACCAATTTTCACGACGAATCGGTTTCACTGCATTGGTCCTTGCTTCGCGACACACCTTCAGAGTGGACGGAATTGTCGTGACGAATAGATCTGAAACCGTTTTACGGGACGCATTTCCACAGATCTATGTTAAAGCTGCCCTCGCCCTTTCGCCAGCAATGGCAGAACTATGTTTTGTTCTGTTCTGTTGAGTTTCTGATGCGTCTTCATTGTGAATATATTTGGTCGCGTGAGCCAACTTATGAAAGCAATTCACCTCTACATTCCAAGTCATTCCCGCACACTCTGCAGTTTAGGGACGGCAGTGAAGCACATTTGATTCGTCCATTGATCGGAGACTTGCACTCACTTAAACAGAATCTCAGGCGCGAGTGGTGCTGATGGGTCGGAAGGGTGTGTCTTGCAGCTTGGCATAGATGTGCTTCAATATATTTTGTAGTCAGGGTGTTCTGTGGTGTTTCATTTTGGTGGCACCGGAGAGATCTTCGTTGAAGATTCCTTTTGGAAGACTCGATTACACTCTATCATCAACGTACTCCGCTGTGATGGTCTCATTCTCATCCTGAAGGTGATCCTCGACCCGATCGGACAGTCAGGGACCTCCGCGAAGAAGTGCAGCAACTCGGCATCAATCGGATCTGAGCTGCGCAAGGTTTGTCTCATTTTTGTTCAGCATTTAGTTGACAAATGCGACAGGTGGTTGCGACCGGTTGTGGGTTGGGTACCCTTGTAGGGTTGTCTCATTTTGGCTCTGGTATTCTTTAAATGTACGTGGGCTCAGAGTGATTGGCTGGTCCACCAAGTTTGAGCATGCCTTTGCATGTTTTCGGGGTGTTCCACCCTTCGTGTTCTTTGTTCAGGTTTAAGGGGCTACCCTGCCTGGAGATGCTCAAGATTCAATTTGCCAGGTACTTTCAGAAACGTCCACTGATGAACTTCTCTATACTTCAGGAGGAAGAAAGTTAGTTCTTCTTACCGGATCTTACCACATCTATGTGGATCAGCCGCGGTCGAATTAAGAAGTCCATTTCGCGTGGCCAGTGGGACGGTCAATTATCAGTCAATATCAGTCATATTCAGTCTTTTTTTGACTATGTATACAACAACTAAGCAGAATTGTTATGTTTTTTTGTCCTAGTGGTGTATGCCACTGTCATGCCTGATTGATCCTGGTTGAAATGTGCCGCCAGTGTGCAGCTGAGGAAGGAGTTGAAGCTTAAGGACACAGAGACCTTAGAGCTGATCGCTGATGGTATCACTTTGTGCCTTGGGCAAGTTTTGGTCCCGTTTTGTTCTGCACTCAAAAGATCTATATATCTCAAAGGGTCGAGGTACCGAACATACCTTGCTACATCGGACTTTTCCAACTTGGACAGATGTGTCCTTTCAACATGACCGCACCGGTGGCCAAAGACACTCAGAGACTTGGGACTGAGGTTCAGTGATGGGGTGGAAGGGCCCCCCCGTTCCAAAGGAACACGTTTGCCGGTCCCAGTGGACACATGACACATGAATGAGTGAACGTGCAAGCAGGGTTTTGTGATGTTTTGCCTGATGCACGTGTTTACCTGAACCAATCTGGCACCTCGGCCAGTCAATGACCATACCTTCCTGATTCTACCATATGCTACGCAAAGACAATTTGTTTGTCCTTTGCCAAATGATTAGAGCGGCGGAGAGCGAAAGACACCAGGTTGGAAACCAAGATCTTGCGCATGTGAAACCTTGTTACCGGTTGTTTTGTAGACAAAGAGTGTCATGGTCCATTGTTGCATGGTGGGCTTTGGATCTACCTCTACTTTCTTTGGCAAGCCTTGCTTCATGATTCTGCCAGGCAAGATGAGCAGACTCTCGGCGAAGCCAATGTGAGCTATGGTGGCTCCATAACTGCGGTGATCGTGGCTTGACCGCAAAGCGGCATTTGCACTTGCGCGTTGATCATGCCGTCATGCCTGGCGTTGTTCTGCGTACATTCTATATTTTGGAATCGATCTGTCAGCTATAACAAGCCCCTGCAACCATGAGGCCTTGAAGAAATCAAGATATACAAGTGTTTAGTCGGAACAACTTGTTGAGGGCTTCTAGCACCTGCGGTTTGCGGTCCTTTTGCTATGCATCACGGTGGCACTGCAGGTAGGAGCCAAAATCTGATAGCTCGAGATACCAAGTACAATATAAATATTGGCATCCTGCGACATTTCTGCACACGATATTAAGGCAGCTGGCGAGGCAATGCTGGACGATTCTGGCGCAGGCGTTTGGAGCTTTCTGATGTGTTGTCTCTTCATCAAACATGAACTTTAAGGTGACATTGGGGACTGCCTTACTTTTTCTGATGCCTTTCTGTCTCATGATGGGTATGTGCTTCCATCGCACGCACTCGGTCGGCTAGGTTCTGGTCATCAGCCCCAGATCTTGGGCAGTGGTGGGTCCAGCCAGGAGCAGCTAGAGAGTGCCCGTGCCATGTTCAGTCCAGAGTCAACAGACAAGCAGCAGGGGTAGAGATCCATGTATGACATGAGAACTGAAAGGGTAGTAGGATGTTTCTTGGCGAACTTGTGAAAAGATGACCATTTCACAGGACACAGAGACAGTTCTGAAGAAGGCGCCAGCTTTCCTTCTGTTGAATGTTTCAGTGTGCTTAAGCCTTGGAGTTGTTTCTAGGTGGAAGTGGATGGACGCGTGTGTGATTGACGGTCTTGTTTGAACCTGGATGCTTAGTGAACTTTAAAGCTTCAAGGGAGAGACTCTTCCTGTGTCACCATGAAATCTACCGTGCTTGCTCCAATGCTGGTCCAATGCTTTGTGGACAAGATATTGGAGATCCATGGATATCCTGCTTGGACTCTGCACATTTGCACATCGGCGCCTCAAAAGACCTCCGTTATAAATGCAAACGACTTCGTTTTCATCGCCTCCGGTGCCAGGTGGAAGAGGAACTCCTTTCCAGCATTGGACCAGATGGGCTCCTGACACGGCAGAGCGCCTTGGCCATCGCTGAAAAAAGTTTAAGCATGTGTCAGACACTGGAGGGAAGCTTGCCGACTACCTCATCTCAGCCTTCCTACACTCCAGATGGTCACACTTCATTCCCTGGCGCCATCAGGCCTTTCTCATGTCGTATGAAAGACATTAGGTGGCAATCAAAGCCATGCCATGTTATGCCATCGGTGTTTTTGGATGAGTACCTTTGCATCGTTTTTGAGCAAGAACAGAGACTCATGGTTGTGAATATAGTTGTGGAAGGCCTGTACTTGAAGCACCTGTTGCTTCTTCACCACTCCGCTCGTGTCTCAGGATGTGTCACCATTTTGACGACGGTTGGCTTCACGCCGCAAGAAGCCAACACTTTGCTCGAGGAGAGCGGGACTTTGGCACCACATGTTTCCACGGTTCAAGGCGTTAGGATCTACTTTAAGGATCTTGAAGGTACCCAACATGGTCCGAGCTTCGAATATCGGACCTTCAGACATGAATAGACTTGCATGCAAGCTTGAATGGTTCACCTTCAACGGCGCGGGCTTCTCTTTTTTTTGCCACACTTTGCTGTTCGAGACGTTGGGGTCCCAAACATGCTCCGTCCCGAGCTGGACATGTTCGAGACGTTGTTGCCGACTTGAACGCTTCACCCTCCAACGGTTTGGGCTTTTGTCGAAAGATGTCGAAAGTGCTGGAAGACGATCCCAAGATCCCATAAGCTCAAGTTTGGGAGGACTACGCCTCAGAGCGCGAGGAGATCAGTGCCTCGGTTCCGACGTGCAGCGGGTGGTTTCTCAGGTCGGATCCAAAAGACTCATAGAGCGAGCAGAATCAGTCGAAGAGGCCGACTCGGACAGGCCAAGCTTGGAGAAAGCGAACAAGCCTTTTGTTGTTGTCAAAACTGCGCACTCCTTCCTTTGCGTGACATTAAACTATATTTTTCTGACTTAATTTCTGACGTAGTGTGAAGAGATGTAGCAGCAAGCGGTGGCAAGGGAGAATCTTCATACATCATAAGACATGGGCCTGACATGGGATGTCAGCTGCAAGAGCCCAGGTGTACGAGGTCTTTATGATCTCCTCCGCGCCAAGACTGCAACCCCTGAGGCAGTGCGATGCTCAGCTTCCACGTTCCACGGAACGTTACTGGAATGTCTTTCTATTGAAGATTCTCTAGGACCAGTCCTTACAGCAGCCGCACACATGTGTTCATCGTACCATCTGGCATTGTCCCGTAGTCTCGCAGCCAAGAATTCGATCTCAAGCTCTTAGCTTGATCCTGATCTCCTGGGCTTCTGAATGCCTTCGACCTTCATTCCCATCCGTTTGGTCATCGCCGGTCAACGTCCAACAACGACCTTGTTGGCGTCTGTTCCAAGGCATCTCCAAGGCATGAGGCGGGACGTGAAGGGTTGCGGAGGCAGTCCATTCCTCAAGGGTTGAGTCACCCGTATTGTTTGTTTGAACTAGTGGAGCGGTTTTCAAAAAGAACGTGCAAGGAAGAGGTGCAAAATGGTGTGAATCCGCCAAACATGTGAAAGTCCAAGAGGGGTCATGATACGCGTTGTGTGTATCATGAACGTACACATGTCATTAGAAAGGTTCGAAGCCGATTGAGTTGACGCTCACTTTGTAGAGACATGTCTTTGTGCATTGCCCGGAAGGAGCTGCTAGGGGATGGGGAAGTCGTGCATTCCCCAAGCGGCGTTACATTCTTGATACCACCCGCGGTCACTGAGCAAAAGATCAAGCCAACTGCCCAGTTGGTGACAGATCTGACGTCCACAGACTTGCAATCACTAAAAAACCAACTGCAGCCCGGCGAGGTGGTCTTTCAGCCAGTTTTCAGGCTCTCGCCCGAGCAGAACCAATCAGACTGATTCTCTCCGCCTGCGTTGGCGCCAGTAGAGTCTGGTGCTCCAGCACTGAAGGCTGGACGGAAATTGCCACGTGCCGCTTTCACGAAGGCTACGTGGAACTGCAGGTGTCTCACTTCTGTGACATGGCCACCACCGGAATCCCTGCGCCCATCAAGGCGCGTGGCTTCGTGAACCTGGCCACAGCAAAAGCCAAAGTCAGCTTTCTGCATATCGGATGCACCTACTGCTCCACCGTCCTCGGCCAGACATACCCGCTGGACGAGGATTACCTACTAGGCTATGCCCAATGTCCCGAGATGGACAGACAGACAGACAGACAGACCAGACCAGACCAGACCAGACCACACCAGACCAAACCAGACCAGACCAGACAGACAGACACACAGACACACAGAGACACACAGAGACACACACAGACAGACAGACAGAGAGAGAGAGAGAGAGAATGAGAGAGAGAGAGAAGGAGAAAAATAGAGAGAGAGAGAAGGAGAAGGGAAGGGGAGGGAGAAGGAGAGAGAGAGAGAGAACAAGAAGAGAGTGAAGTTTGAAGGTGAACTCTCACAAACCAAAGTTGTCAAACAAAACTGTTCTAGTCCAAGTGAAAACTCTCCAAGTGAAATCGGGTTGAAGTATTTGTTTCTTTCGAGTAAGTGATCAGAGAAATCCCTTAGTGAACACTCTACAGTGAAGACAGTCCTTGTCATCAAGTCTCTCAAGCTGTGCAAAGTTTTTAAACATTGTAAGTGATTTTTAAGAAACCTCCAAGTATGTTTAAAAAAAAAACTAGGCTAGAAGACATAAGCTTAGGTTATTCTTAAAAAGGTTAGGTTATGGTTAGGTTAAAGTTCTATGTTTTAGGTTATTCAAACAAATAGACCATCTAGGTTAATCCACACATGTCATCACATGTCACCGTGCTGCACACGGCATAAGTGCCAAGGGCACATCGCACTTCACTGATTCACCACGTGCCGATGTGATGTGATGTAGAAGCAGTGCTGAGGCTCCCAGCAGCCAACCCAGTGAGCTGGGAGCTGGCTATGCACGTGGAAGCGCAGAGGTCCAATTTGTTGATTTGATCAGCATGGCAAGTCAAATCCTCGAAATAAAGGAAGAGTCCGCAGGGGCTCTGCATGAGTGTGTCATACAATCAGCCACCAGAGCAGTCATCGTACTCAAAGTTTCTGTTGTGATCTAGACCTTGTTATGATTCAAAAGTCTCTCCTCCAGTCGAAATACCGCAAGGAAATCTAGCAACAATTTAAGTATATGTGAGTAAAGCTAGTTGCTGCGGGTTCATGTGTATTGAGTAGACAAATTTCGACATGGAATAGGATACACTTTGATACGAGTCGGAGGTATTTACTGTAGGCGCAGGCCAAAAGTATATATGTGAAGATCTGATTGTGTCCTTTAGTGAAATCATTCCAAATCAAGAAGGCTTGTGTGTCGATGCGGTCTAAACCTGTTGACTGCTGTCCGGTGGCAGGTCTTATCTCGGGATCTCGCAGCTCAGCCAGTGCTCGCCATAGTCAACTTTGAATGAGCTAGAGTTCTGCAATGCTATGGAAAAAGTTTTAAAGGTTTCAGAGCCTTTCTGTGAATCTTTGCCTATTTGGAAGTTGGTTTGACACTGAGAGCCTTTCGCAAGTCTCAAAAAAAATGTCGTCGACGAATCTTTAAGGGAATTGGGAATCTGTCGTCGCAGTGGTCGTTGAGGCGAGTCACTTGTTTCAACCGCTTTGGTCAGTTCGCCTTCAAACCGGAAGTGACACTCCGGTTCACCACGCTTTACCAAGTTCAATGCTTCCAATTGCGACGCATGCTTGAACAACGCCGGTGAACAATTCATTGGATGAGTACTACGTGGTGAGTACGCATTGTTTCACAATTCATGGGGATTCGATGGTAGTACTGCGTGGTCTTTGCACCCCTGAATCTCTGCCACTCGTCACTGTTGCTCCATGGACTGATAAACTCTACAACCCACTCTATGTTCAAAGAACCCAGTCTTTCCACCTCCTCCTTTTGCTTCGTCTACTGTTTGTAGTATCTAATGTATCTACAGATTGCGCAAAAAAGCCTCTGGAATGCGCCGAAAGGTTCCACACTTTAAACAGACTAATCTCCATAACCAGCCATCACCCACTTTAGAAAGTATCGCTTGCGTGCACCTAGGTCACCTATCCCAAAAGAAACGTGGGGGAACTGATGAAGCAGTGCTGACCCACCTTTGTTTTTCCACACAGAAGTGTTTGCACCTCCAGCCCTGAGGTCAAGCCATGTGAATATCCCTTGAGGGCTTGGTTTAAAGCTACACCATTGCACCGCAAGACCTCGAGGCATCTAGCTATTAGCTCTATTTGCCCAAAACGTCTACCCACCTCTCAGCCACCTCTATTTGCCCAAATCACTTTGCACTCTTGTCATGGAAGGGACACATTTGCCACTGGTTGCGAGTCGTGGTTTCCCATTTGACAATTGTTTCGGTGCACTTTGTTGCTACGCTCCTCCCCAGATTGATGGAAAGAAAAGATCTAAGTAGAGAAGGAGCGGGTTTCTTCATGCCAGGAAGTTTCTAAAGTAGCACCGAGGCTGCCAGTGGCCCATCTGGTGAGTTGACCGAGCAACAAAGCAGCGCGCAGGCCAAGTAGTTCATTTGATGGCAGACATGAGATCTTTGCGCGGCAGTGGTCACATAGTTGGGCACAATGAGCAAACCACCCAAGAGAATACTTGCCTGACCAAAACTCAGCACGCACACAACTGTTCAAGTTGCTGTGACTGTACACAAAATTACACACATGCAGGTCTTGCCGGTCTTGCATGTTCCTCCCGTTTAGTCAGTATGCTTAAGACGTGAGTACCTTTTAGTGATGGGGGTTGCTGTTTTGCAGCTATAAGTTTAACACCAGAATTCGGATAGCGCGGATAGCATGCGCAAGCCTAAATCCTGAGTCCTGCACTCCTGCGAAGCCAAAGAAAAGTCATCCGGAGGCTCACGTAAAATTGTTGCTTGATGCCAGGAATCTGCCAGGGGTGGAGAAAGCTCCAGAGAAGAGGTGGGGAAGCCATTTATGTCAGTTTGTTTGTTTTTAGCACCAGGATTGTTCCCTAAAGCTGTCCTTTCCATTCGCCGTCAGTCTATCATGGTTGACAAATTCAGAACAGATGCAGTTGCCGTGGTTAGCGTTGCTGAGCTGCTAGATGTTGTGCCACGATTTTGTTTGGCAAAGAGAAACTGCTTGTGAGAGGTATCAAAGGCTGCTCTGCATGTTGCACCATTTATGTCAAACTCAGCTTTTCGTACCCTGATGTGTTTCGGACTTGAGAATAGCTTTGTGCAACTTGGGAGGAGAGATCCGACTCTGATACAATCATCCACTACCACAACGGCATACGGTTTGTTGCTCACAGAAGCATTTTCGAGCAGTACACTCTCCAGGCAGAGATCGTTTCAGACTGGACAGCGGAGCTGCCCACGCTGGAGGGTGTTCTCAACAAGACCGAAGTTCCGCTGAGCCCACTGATCCGTTTGCTCCCAGACAACGTCATTTTCCCCAAGAAGGTACGTGTCATGATCCCGGCTTGCGTGGGAAGCACCAAGATGTGGCGTTCAACCGCAGACTCATGGGAGTTGATTTCATCAGGCAGCTTTGATGAAGGTGTGATAGAAGCCTACTTCACGCATTTTTGCCTCGTCTTTGCCAGTGGAGCACCGCGCGTTTTACAGGCAATTGGCTACATCAGGCCAGACCAGTTAGCAACGGCAAAGTTAGCCATTGCATGTGTGAACTGCACCCAGTGCAGCGAGGCTTTGAGTCGGTACGAACAAGATGACCAGCACCTTCATGGCTATCAAAGATGCCAAAAACCCGTGCCAGTTGGTTCCTTTGAGAATCACGATGTCATCAATATCACTCAGGATGCCCGCTATCAGGTGATACAGTTGAGCTTTAGGATGTGCCCCATTGTCTCCAAAGCGTTTCAGGCCGAATCCGTTCACTTTACCGTGAAAATTGAAGAGGCTGAGCATTTCTTCACAACTGCTCCAGCACCCAGTGGTGTGGATGCCGCGGATGCCTGCGTTGATTCCAGCTCCAGTTCGCACCAGAAGCCGAACCCGTCCCAGTTGCAGAAGCAGAGAAGCCTGACCTGATGCCGAAACAAGCCATGTTCGCCCTATCCTCGTGGAACTGCAGACGCCCGAGGAATGCTTCCAATGCCGGTCGAGGCAAGATGTCCTCCACAAGTGATGCGTGTAGCCCTGAAGACCTGCGAATTAAAAGTACACTTCCCCTTCTCCCATCCAAAGTGATCCTTGACTGCGCTGGTAAGCCTGCTGGGCAGATTGCCAAGTTGATGGCAGTAGCGCTGCTCGCCATAGGTAAAAGGGATGAAAGAGGCCAGGCTGCCGTTTGAAGAGGACTGACGAAAGATTTGTTGCGAGAGCGTTTGCCAGAAGTAGTTAAGTTAAAGCAAGTCATCAGTATTGCACTCATGGTCATCCTCGGTAGCCATTTGCAGCAACCAAAGCTGTGGTGATTTGGCATGTTATGGATGCGAAGCCCAGGAGATATAACTACACATTTGCTTCTACAAACCGAACAAAAGCAGAATGACCATGGACCATGCATATTATGAAAGAATGGCTAAGTGAATCAGAGAGGTAAAATGTGGGTTTTGACTCACAATGACTCACGCGTCCGTTCTCATTTCAGTGGTTGTTCGAGTTTGGTCTGGTCCATCCGCATGCACTTCCACGTGAATAGCGCAGTTTGTAAATTTCAAGGAAACACAGACACAATCATTTTGTGGTGGTTTGGTGCATCCTTTCCATCCGATGACAGTATTCGAGCGCGTCATTTGAGCAGCGCATCTGAATCATGTTGCTGCATCAAATCCCTTGCCAGGCAGAGCCAGCTTTGTCACGAAAGCTAGCATGCTAGCTGAGTTCTTCTTTGCTTTAGCAATTGGTAGTGGGATGAGCTGTGTGCCTTAAAGCTTGATATATCACGCTAACCACCCCCCCCCCGGTTCGACTCCCAGCTGCGCCGTGTAGCGGGGGTTGGTTGAACTTGTGAACGTGGTTGGTTGGGTGTAAACGGTGGCTTGGTGTAAACGGTGCTGCTGCTGCCGCTCTGCTGCTTGCTGCTGCTGTTTGCTGCTGCTGCTGGCTGCCGCTTTTGTAGCTGCTGCTTTGCTACTTGTTGCGGCTTGGTGCTGCTGCTGCTGTTGCTGACGACGCCGCTGCTGCTGCTGCTTGCTGCTTGCTGCTTGCTGCTTGCTGCTGCTGCTTGCTGCTTGCTGCTTGCTGCCGGTGGTGCTGCTGCTGCTGCAGCTTGGTGCTGCGCTGCTGCTGCGTGGTGCTGCTGGCTGGCTGCTGGTTGGCGGTTGCTGCTGGCTGCTGGCTGCAGGCGGCTGCTTCTGCTGCTGCTGCTGGCTGCTGCTTGCTGCATAGGACTTGTACTTCACCGTTACAAGTTGTTTACCCCTATTTCTGACCTAATGCATGCATAAGCGGGTGGTAAATTTACTCCCCAGGCTTGCTATAACCATACACAGGCTATTTCCTCAAGACACTCTATTCCTGATACCTTTTACATCCTTTTTACCAGTGCTTATCCTACACTACGGACGCCCTAGTGTATGCACAGTCCTTGTGATGCTTACCCCTCGTTCCGGCTCAAGGCACACATAAGCGGGTGGTAAATTTACCCCCCAGATTTGCCATAACCATAAGCCGGCTATTTCCTCAAGACACTCTGCTCCTTATACCTTTTACCAGTGCTTATCCTACACTACGGACGCCCTAGTGTATGCACAGTCCTTGTGATGCCAGAAATGCTTACTCCTCTTTCCGGCACAAGGCATACATAAGCGGGTGGTAAATTTACCCCCCAGATTTGCAATAACCATAAGCCGGCTATTTCCTCAAGACACTCTATTCCATATACCTTTTACCCGTGCTTCTCCTACACTACGGACGCCCTAGTGTATGTACAGTCCGTATGATGTCAGAAATGCTTACCCCTCAAGGCATACATAAGCGGAGGGTAAATTTACCCCCCAGATTTGCCGATCACGCATCTTCGTGCCTGCCAACGAGTGCACCCGGGCTGTTCCAATGTACCCTTCCCAGTCAGCGATGTCACATTTACATTCTTTAGCGCAAAGTATGTACATAGCAACCTTCCTCCCAGAACATGTACTCACTACATGCTTTGCCGACTATGCAACTAGTACATCCGGTGCGATTCGGCTAGCTTTCGACCTCCTCCCCCTGGCCTCAAGTTTTTGGTGAGTGTTTTGATGTGCTTTGTTTGGTGAGATATTATACCACAGTCACCGTTATTCTGTACAACCGCAAAATCCGCCTTTCGCAGCCTCCGCCTTTCGCAGCTGCGTCCGCCTTCCACAAACTCTTTGGGTTTGGCTTTGAGATGTGAAGTCAATCTATTGACCATTCCATCAGTCTCGGTGAAGACCTGCTTGTCAACAGATTGTGCAGACTTCAAACGACAGCAAGTTGCAGTAATGGAATCAGCAATCAGACTGATTTGTAGGTGGAAGTCATGCATGCTTCATTTTCGACTATCATAATATATCATAACCATAGATCATAGATCAGATACACTTGGTCGCTGTGGACCTGTTCTTTGCACAGGTCCACTCTAGCAAATTATCCTATCAACACACTAACTGGTTCCATGCAAAAAGAATAGAGCCTAAAGCGCGCGCTAATGTTGTTAGGCCGTTGATCCTCCCCATCCGGAATCCGCGATGGGTCCGGGCAACCCAGGCCGTAAAGCTTCCGTTCACTCATGGGCTGAGGGACACCTAAGCAGTGATCGTCACAATCATTGGTGCTATGTTGCTCCGGTGGAAAGTGTTTGGTGCCAAGGTCAAAACCAATCTTGTTTTGCCCGGCCTTTTGAGCATCAACGAGAGGTTGCCAGCAGCAGGGCAGTGCAAAAAGGAACCACGGTGAAGCCACGGTGACCTCGCGAGAGCGCAGGGAGAATCGAGGCAAACGCGGAACGTAGGGGTCTTTTTGAGGCCAAACGCAGGAAGACAAGTTGTAAGATGTGACAAGCCTTGGCCGACCGCAACACTTAAGCTTGAAGGTGTTGAAGGATATTGAAGGTGTTTTTGGCTGTTCTTTTTGATGCCAGCTGTTCGCAATGCACTTCAATGTACCCAAACGTGGACTTGTCGACAAGCGGACGTCGTGCTGCTGCCATTCAGAAGCCGTTGGTGCTCAAGGGATGGAAACTCCAAACTTAGCTTTCCGCCACCAGGAGCAGCGAAGTGTTCTTTCAGTCTACAGGTGGTGAAAGGCTCAAAAAGCAGGTAGAGGTTCCATGTTTGGGCTCCAATCCAATCATGGCTCAATATCTTGCTTTGCAGGAAGGATGAACGCCAACGCAGGTGAACGTTTGGGCTCTTCATGTGATATCATGTGATCGAGTGTCAGTGAGAGTGAGGAATACTTTTCTTTGCAGAGTGTGAAGATGAAGCGGGTCAAGCACAGTTTCTTTTTGACACAGCAGACACGTAATTAGAATAGCAAGAGGCTAACTATATGGGTTGGGGCTTGGAGTGAAAAGGCAAGTCCTGGTCCTGTGGTTCTGGAATGAATCTGACTGCTTCGATTCACTATGTTCAGACGTTTGTTTTCGTTCAGACCTTATTCAGACATACAGAAACTCTGACCATGTAGCCATCATATCATGCGCTTAATGCAAAGGCTCATTCTGGCACAGCTTGAAACACTTTGGAGCTCAGATTGTCGCAGGCCAGTCTGCGCTGCATCGTGCAGCCATCAATGGAGAGGTGGATGAGTTGCAGCGTGCGCTGGGGGATGGCATTGACATTGAGGCCACCGACGAGGATGGCCAGGGCCGCAGGAAGGAGCGATCCACTGGCATTTGTTGGAAAACAGTCAAAGCAAGCTGGGATTTTGTCAAGAAAAGGTAACAATCAGAGAGCCAAAAACCAGAACATGTAGAAGCAGTAAGGGCGAGCAACAGTGATACGTTTTGACATGATTTGAGATGCACATTCTTCTCAGTGTTTGTTGGTGTGCCTACGGCGCCTACGGCCTGCGCCTTTGAGGCTGGACCTCGTTGCATTTGGCTGCGCTCAAGGGCCACCTCTCTGTGGTAGAGCGGCTCCTGGAAGTCAATGCCAACTTGGAAGCTGTGGGCATGGGCGGCTGGGAGCCCCGGAGGGCCGCCACGGAGGCCCAGAAGGTCGAAGTCCTCTAGAGGCTCAGAAGGTTGAGGTACATGGTTTTTTAGTCAATGAAGACCATGTTTGGATGCAAGTGCTACGGTTCAACACCCTCTGAGCCTAAGGCCATACATGTTCAGAAAGAGACCAGTTGGATTGGAAGGTGTCATTTCCTCCAACACCAGGATGCAAGCGTGCACGACACCATTCAAAGGACCCCTCTCTTCCCTCGAACAAGATGGTGTTAGGGATCAACTGTCATGTTTGTTTCACTGTCTTCCAGGGTGAGCACAGTCTATAGATATTGATCAACACAATAACAGTATAAAACAATCACTTGAAAATGAAAAAAAAGATCCACTCACGGCACCTACACTCTACAGTGCTCATGCTCCTCTGTATGGCCCCCGAGGTGACCGGCCGCTCCATTTGGCCGCGCAAAACGGCCACGGAGCCGTGCTGGCGTGTCTCGTGGCCGCGGGCGCGGCTTTGGAGGCCAGGGCAGAGCTGACGGGCCAGGCGCCCCAGGTGCTGCGGAATCGCTGGTTGAACGAAGCAACGGAGCAACGAAACGGGAATGGATCCGAGGGTCTGGTGAGGAGATCGGACTTGGAGATAGTGGTAGAGACATGTGGAGGATTGAACGCAAATGTCCAACTTTTTTCCAATTTCATACCTGTGTGGTACAGACTTGCTGCTCCAAATACAAATGCAAGGTTGGAGTTCAGTTTAGCTTTGCATCTGACTGGGTTTGGGGACCGGTAGCTGTTCCTTGCCTCGGTGGACAGCCGAAGATGAGCGAGAAGATCCGTTCTTGCGGCAAGCACGCGAAAGAGAGAGAGAGAGAGAGATCCATCTTTAACGGAACCAAGGACGAAAACTGCGGCAGGTTGTACAGTTATTAGCTGATTGCAGATCCAAAGAGTTCAACGCCGAAGCTGAACTAACTCAGCACGCCCCGAGGTCGGACGTCGCTCCACCGAGCGGCTGCCAAGGGCCACTCCGCGGCGGCCCAGTGGCTGGTGGACGCCAGGGCTGACGTCGAAGCCAAGGACGACAATGGCTCGGATGCCCAGGATGTTTGAGCTCTGCAAGAGACTGAGGCGATTTTGATAAGATCTTGTCAATGAGCTATGTGGTCAGGGGGAGCATAGGCTCTGAATGCCTGACATGTTGCAGAGACTGGGTGGAGTTTCGCCCTTGCCAAGGCGAAACCCCGTTTGAATTGGCCACAAAGCGTGACCAGCGGAAGGTGATGGCCGTTTTATGTCCAGTTGCTTGGCCTGCCATTGGGATCGGCCGGAGAGTGTTTTTGAAGTGGCGACGTTTCTCGACCTATGTGGGTCGACACCATGCGATCAGCCAGTGCACGCGCGTAATTTTTGTACATCTCTGCGCTTTTCCAAGGTTTATGTATGTTTGCCCAGTGGACGAAGTGTGCCCTGCAGCTTGGCTGACAGGTGTTCCTCTCAAAGTGCTCAGCTTCTTGCCAGGTACTGTAACGTATTGCAGGTCAAACACCATGGCTGCAATCTTGCATTGTTTGCCGAGGTGACCCATCGCCAGACCGCCAGGTGTGTGACTTACGTAAAGAAGCTGTGTAGCTTGGAGGCAACTGGTCGGCTATTGGTTTCAAGAGGTAGCTTTCAAGCGAAAGGGGCCTCGTTAGTGAGGCTTTAAAACGCGATTGTCCCAGATTGAGCCAGCAGAGTTTGTGCATTTGAAGCTATTAGGACGGGAAGTCTTTTTGAAGTTTGCAGAGGTTGGATGTTAACCCTTTTTCAAAGCTTGTTGCGTCCACTGCCTACAAGGAGGTAGTTCCGATGGTTTCTGATGATGAATGAAAGGATTGCGATTTGGTCGATTTGGGTTGAGATGCTAACAGACCTGAGAAAGTCATCCAATGCAATCAACACATCGAAGAATACACAACAAAGTCCAAAGGTGCAACCGGACTTCTGTGAGTACCCATGTAACTTGAACATGAGAGGCTCAAAAACTGTTCAGCTCTGCGTCTTCTTCGCCAATTGACTCAGAGACTTGACAAATCCACGATGGGGTGTTCCCCAAGCATCCAAAATAGATGACCACCACTCACCCCACAACAGTGTGTATTTGTTTGCATGTGTTGCGGATTGTTTACCCTTTGTCATTCTAAATTGATAGCAGCACGCTACCTGCCCAGAGGTCCACAGCTTTTATGCCGCTGCCTTCCTTAATAGAACTTTGCCAGCAACTGAGGAAGAAGTTGCAGCTTAAGGGGACAGAGATCCTAGAGATGATCGGAAGCTCCGGTGAGAAGCTGTGCCTTCGTCAAGTCTGAGTCCTTTCTTTTTCTGACTCTTAAAGGGTTCGTTTGCATGGACAGGGAATGTGTTTGCGAAAGATGTAAGACTTGAGAAATTGAAGATTCATGCAAGTGAATGTTATATCATGCTAAGCTTGGTGTGTTGTTGGAACTCGGATGTGGAATCGGTGCAAGCCAAGTAAGACCTAGCATGTGGGACGTGTTGACCAATACCGACCACCGCTCACATGGTCTTGTAGCTAGCTATCGACTTCAGCAGTGAGAATTCTGCTTCCAGCATGTCTTTGTGGGATGTCAGGAAAACTGTTCCATGCAATTTTTGAACCACAGATTTGTGGTTCTGCCTGTGCGGGAGGCACGATCACTTGAGCCTCCAAGAAGCAGGTATCGACTACGGTGGCTGTGTGAGCGCCATTGCAGGCGCCCCAGTTGTAGCAGCGACTGTCAGATTGAATCCGTCCGATCCATCCAAGTCATTGGCAATGTGATTTGTGTGTGAAGTGCTTCCATTCTTCTGAAAATTGAAGGTTTTCAAAAGTGCTAGTCTTTTTCCGGTTTACCTCGAGTACTTGAGTTTTCAGCCAAGCCCACCAGATCGCGATCGCACGTGTTACGCTTCCATCGTTTTTCCGGGGCTCCGGAGCAGCCTGAGCGATGTGAGGATTGAGATATAGGGCAGCCTTCAGGCCACTTAAGTCACTTAAGATCGAGTAAAGCGGCTTCCTACAAACAATGCATGGAAGATTTTGCCGAATCCACGAGATCAGCTGCCTTCTCACGAACATCCTAGGAAAACACAAATTTAAGATAATTTAAGTGAAGGTTTTTGTTGCCTGCCACGATAAATTGTCCCGGCTTCACCCTTTCAGAGGTCAAGGAACCAACCTCATGAGGCTGACCAGACAACAATGGTCCCCAGCGATTTGCCTTTGAGGTCATAGATCCTCAGAGCAACTCGGTCCATCACAGATCTCCGAGTTTTGTCGAAGCTCAGGAGCTGATGTAAGCTGATTTCCGATGTAAGCTGAGCAGGGCACAGTTCATCACACGTCTTTTTCGCCGCAGGTGTTGTTTCTTTTTCTTTACTATACATGGCTGTGATGATCGTGGGATGGGGTCGCAGCAGGGTTAACTTCATGGCCGTGTCGCTGACGTCGTTGGAGTGTGACAACTTCAGTTACCCAAGAAGCCCCGAGTGACAACGTCTTTCTTCCCTGGATAGGGGGTCGCAGTGTTTCGGCCACAGGAGGAACTCGTTTGCAAGGCTCACAAAACAAAATTATGTGGGTCAAGACTGAACGTCAATCCACTTGGTGAGCGTCCCCTGTATACCATACAAATTCCTTTTGAAAGGGTTCAACTATAGAGTCTAGACACTTCTTACACTGCTTTGTGTCAGGCAAGTACGATTTGCAAGACCCGCAGAAGCTGATCCAGTTTCTCCTTGATGCAAAGATTGGATTAATTCGCTTGGAGTACTTGGAAGAGCTGCTTTCCACAGGCCGAAGGCTTCCTCGCAGACAAGAAGCTGATGGCGAAGTCACGGCTGCAGGCCTTCCGGCACTTGTTTTACCATCGGAGCTGCAGAAGGTGGAGATTGATCCAATTGGCAATATGAGCATTTGTGTCAAAGATCCCTCGCCACATAGAGTGACTGTGGTGATAGAGTCCATCTCTCACGCTTGGGAGAGCATGGAGCATCCAGATCCGCATGGGTTTCAACTGGACCAGATCATCCAGATGTGTCCTCCTGTCACCTCCACTCGTTCAGTTTGGCTGTTCTATGATTTCACTTCCTTGTATCAGTACGGTGGCCGAACTCCACAACAGAAAAGGTACTTCAAGCAGGCTTTGGACCAGATGCACACCCTCTACGCCCATGAAGCCATCAAAGTCCGAATTCTGGACGAGCTCACTCCTGAGACGTGGAAACATCCAGGAACGGTGATGGCTTTCTCGGATCAGGCAGGCGGTGTCATTGCCGTCTCCATTGACCAGCTTACAGCGAATAGCATCCCTTACCTGCTGAGAGGGTGGTGCCAAGCTGAACGCCAATGGTCCCGGCTTCGGATCTCGTTAGAAGCCTGTGTTCCCATGCCGCCAGACCTCTTCCGTCGCAAGATGGAGGAACAGGGGCTTCGTTTCACCCACCATGATGACAAAGAGGCCGTGTTGAAGCTTCAAGCTCAGGTCTTCACAGAAAAAGTGCGGACCACTAAACAGCTGATGGCAGAAAACTTGGATGAAGAGGCTCTCAACACTCTTTGTGCCGCTTTGCCGTTCTATGTCGACCTGGATGAGATTGTGGTGAATGGCAACGTATTGCCAAGGAATGCAGCTGTGGCAGTTGCCAATACCAATGCTCGCTCCTTTCAGATGGAGTCCTGCGGGCTCAAAGATGAAGATGTAGAGGTCATTGTGGCCAGCTTGCTTCATTGCAACAAGGTAGAGGAACTCAGGCTCGCGCGTAACGACATCGGGCACAGAGGCCTCCAAGCCTTACGAGAGTTGAGGAAAGCGAAGCCGGATTTGTACATCGATGTACAGCTCGATGACCAAGAAGCACGAGATGGATATTCTCTGAATGCTTCCACCGAGATGACCCCAGAAACGGCGAATTAAGGCGCGGCGTCGGAGTTAGGTGCTTCAACGGAATATAGGCTCTATTGGTAAAAGATGTCTATAAGTTTCGATCGGTTTCAAGGTCGACAATTGGATGAAGATGTTGTATTTACTTTGCCAGGCTATACGCCAGTGCCGCCTCTGGAGTCATGCCCTGTTTTGGACCTCGCAATTTTTTCGTTTTTCGCCCACCGCTTTTTCGGCGCAAGCAAAGGTGGACAGCCACAAATAAGTAAGTATTTTTCGGCTGCGTAAATAGCTCGATTTGGCAAGCTGCAAAAAGTCCTGGCACCACATCTCACGAGATGGCATTGCTAGTGACCGCTATTATAGTGATAGCGTTTCTTGTCGATGGTCATACAGATCCACAGGGTTTGGACGTGCCTTAGACGTTCTAAGAAGTATCCATATTGTCGACAATATGTGAAGAGATGATATAAGATTCCTCCCGATTCACTTTGAAATACAGATGATGTCACTTGTTTGAAGGTCATGTATCGGTTCCGTTGTTTGTCCAAGACTTTGCTGAGCATGAAGTTGTACTCGTTGCCGTAGCCAGCTCAAGGATCGTGGTGTTTTTCCTTTGGACGGGGTCGAGAAGATTTCTGGGTCGCCTTCCCCACCAGGTTTTTCAAAGGAACGCTCTTCTCTTCACCCAGAGGTCACCGAATTGGGACTTAGACCTTCCCATGAAGTCCCTGAAGTGACAGATTTAGAAGGTGCTTTAACTGGTTGGCAGCTGACTGCAGTGAGATGACAGTTTTTTAAGAGAACCTAGAGTAGTTAAGACTATTTAAGGCTGGAAACGCCATGGTCATGGAGTGCCAACGCCTGGAATCCGCCTGGCACTTAGGGTGTTGGCTCGGAGATGGGAGGGAAACAACGTTGAACATGAGGGGACGAGACCAGGGGGCCACATCGAATGGATCGCGGAAAAAATTCTGAAGTTGTGCAGAGGAAAAGATTGTATGACACCTCTAATCACAGGCCAAAACTCGTTGATTTGTCCGTGCGGTTGTCTGGAGCCAACATCCAATACTAAGAGTCCTTTTCAAGTCACGTCCAGTCACAAAAGTCTCTAAGCCGGACAAACGCTGCGACGACGGGCATACAGGTTCTGCGACGACGGGCCAAGAACTCGAATGACAACATGTGCGACGATCACTTGAATGCAAAAGGAACGTTTGCTGGATCCCACCGTGGCTGTGTGTTGAACAGCAGTAATCGTAGAAACCCACCTCTTAGAATCTCTCTTTTTGTATATTTTCTATTACTTTCTCCATTCCTTCCAAAAGTCTTGCACTGCTGTTCCCCTAGCGTTTTGAGGTGTCATTGTTTTTTGCCATCAGAACATTTGTCACCTTATAAATTAGCAAAAACTGTGTAAGTTATAGTATGGAATCATTATATCAGTATATTGAGTAAAACATCCGCCTTCGCACACCGGAGATCAACGCTGCAGCCTCCCCGACTTGCCCACCTGCCGCGGCAGTCCACCGAAGCCAGTCCGCCACGGAAAGAGATTCATCCCACCCAGTGCCCGACTCGTCACAAGCATTTCGATGGCGATTTTCACCTGTGAGTTTGTGTACCGTAGCGATCGGAGTTTGGTGCAACCGGGCGTTTTGGAGCTTTTCTACAAGATACCTCGGAGCGATCTGTTCGTCCGATCGAGATGGAAAACTCACCCAAGATTCAATAATAGATAGAAAAGTAGATCCCCACCAAGCATCTATTGGAAACCATGCCACTATCTATTTGGGGATCACTCCAAAATGATCATGTTCATCCACTCGCTCCATCAATGACACCACGAAGGTCAGCCTCTGCCAGCCTCTGTGCTGCCTGCTGCGCCTGGCACTGCGGTGGTGCAGCCGTGCTGGAACCATAGAAGGTCAGCCTCCGGTGGAACTGGACATGGTCTTGAATGATCTACCGATGTGGCGGGGAACTGGAGCTTTCCGTGGTTAAGTGCATTGATTTTTCACTGGGAAGGCTAGTTGGAACGATGTTAGAGCAACATAAGGGTATCAGGCATCAGGAAGTGGCATGTCACAAATTCCGGTGATAGGGGGGGTGTTGCACCGCAAGGCATGCCTAGATCCAATAAAGTTATACGGTATCGAGTGTTAAACTATGTGGGGGCGATGCATTGATTGGGTTTGTGGGGGGGGAGGGTTTTGACCATTGTCCTGTGGAATGGAGGCTTTGCATGGCTGTCCTCAGATGATACTCTACCAAGGCCAATGACAGCTTTCTATGACTGCAATCATATGACACTTAGAGTCTTCCAAGGTGCGTTCGGTTGAGAGGATTCACCTGTACGTTCAACAATCGCTTGCTGGCTGTCGCCCTTCCATACCGGGGTCGGGGTCGGACATGTCGAAAAAGCTGGAATCTCCTCTTTTAGAGACCGGATCGCAGGAGGCCAAACAGCCCAAGGCGTTTGATCCATATAGACTCTATGTATAATATATAACAATTGCTATTCCTTACCAGCAAAACAGCTTGAAACTACACTCGATGGTTGCACCGACTCCTAACACACTCCCATTTGGACCCTCGGTATTCTTGGATCCTATAGAGTGAAGATCGAAATGGTTTTTGGGATCAAGAAGCTGCTGCGTTGAAGTTGTGCACGGGGCATCAGATTTCATGGTTTAGAATCGTTTTATCGAAGGATTTTCTCACTTCCAGCTTGTGGGAAAGTCCCATGATCCCCAAATGACACCGGAGGGTTCCTCCGGATCTCCGGATCCAGTCAACTCCTTTTGCACCGCCCCAGGGAGCCTTTGCTGCCAACTTGATATGACGAAGTCAGAAGGATATTCCGTTGGAGCAGAGAAGCTGAGCGCCAAAAAAGATACCGAAAAACATGCAGAGCGATCAATAGGGACTTGGTAAATCTTACACTGGTATATGTGTGCAACCAAGTCCAAGCAGCTCTCTTGAATGCAAGAAACATGTTTAGCTCATCAATGGATCAAGCAAGTTGGATTCACCACTCCGCCGTTTGTTTCGATATACCCCTAGAGCTTTTGTACTTGATTTATGTCGATCACACTTAGTTTGATGCAGGGGGAGCTTGTTAGCATCAGGAAACGTTTTACTCAGCAGAGTCTCCAGCATATGAAATCCACCCGGAACGCGGCTCTCTTTGGCTCCAGCTGGAATCCGACAAGCCCAGCTCACTCAGTGCAGTTCCTATAGCCTTAAGCCATCACCGGATCTTGCGCGAAGGGCATGGAACCAGAACGCCCCGATCTGGAGGCCCGGTCTATGTACTGAGTCGTGGAGGAGTTGTGAATTTCGGAAAGGGCGTTATAATTACCCAAAAGAGACGAGATCCGGTCTGACCTGATTTGACTTCGTTTTTTTTGCGATGTCTGCGGATCTTCAGAGTCTTTGCGTGTCCGGAACTCTCCATGGAAACAGCGCAACCAGATGCACGTGGGTGATGTCATGAAAAGGGATATATATTGACTTGATATGATTGATTCCAATCCTCATCATCGGTCCAGAGCGACCTCACCAGATGACTATAACAGCGACCAAGCTACAAGCAGCGCTTGACAGGCAGCAGCCGGAGCTACAGGCTGGATTCTGGATGTTTTGGTGAACGTGAGTAGATGCGGAGTATGGGTTGCTTGTTTAAGTATGTTCACCTGTTTGGTAGGTTGAGAAGGATCAAGGCTGACAGTTTGGAAACCTTTTGCTACAGTAGGCTGTTTGTCAGGCTGGTAATTGAACTCCAATGCCATGTTGATTCTGTTGGAAGATCCGTAACAACTTGTAGCTAGCCAGTGATGTTTTTGGTTTTGCTTTTGCCAATCTGGCTGGCTGTTGCATGGTGTTTTGAATCTGTCAAAACTCTGGAGGGGTCCCAACAACCAAAGTAGGGAGAGGGACCAATTGGATTTTTCCATTGATATGCGACATGGCTCGTGCCAAAGTGAAATAGGAGAGCGTGAACAAATAATTGTTGAAAAACCGAACTGCTACAGCTAGAGTTAGAGATTGAAGAATTTGTGAGCCAGAGCTGGAGAGTCCCCAAAAGGACAAAATCCAAAGAGACAGGTAATCCGAGCAATTATCAGCTCACTTTTGATGTGGCATCTAGACCTTTCAATGATACTACTGGTCTAGATATGTCTAGATCCATCCTATTGATTGATCTAAAACCGTGAGGCTTCTTGGATCCGTGATCCGCGTCGCGCCCTCGCCGACAGCGACCTGAGGCTCAGAGTCTGAAGAGGGTGAGGAAGGTGAGGAGGGTGAGGAGCTCAGAGAGGTTTTTCATCTTGAGAGTTCATGAAGAAACGGATCTAAACTGGTAGACCCTAAAAATGTTGCAAGAAAGCTTGCAACCAATAAACTTGTTGGGTGTTCACTTGAATCTGTGCGGTGTGTTTGTTACTTGAATCTGAGCCGCACACGGCACAACGCTTTGCATCTCGACAGCCAACGTGGGAAGAGGCGCTGATTGGGGGAAGCGATCACCAACTATTTTGGTTGTTAAGCCATTGGGTGTGTCAAAGGCAATTGATTTGCAGGGTGCATATGTTTTTTCGATAGAGTTTTCAAGTACACCGCGGCCCTGTTTGTATGGCCTTTCTTCATCAAAACTCTTCCAACATGAGAAGGATTGATGGGAACACTTTGAAGGATGTCCCGTGAAGTTGAATGGAGCTTCTTAGAAGATCCATTTGTCACATTACATTGTCCTCGTACTATGCCCTCTAGAGACAACTAGAGGCTCCCTAAACTTAACTTGACTGGGGGGCTGAAGGGTCTCTACTCCTCAGGGTCCTACACACGTGATGATGAGAATCCAGGAAATATCAATGCATTAAATGTCCTTACATATGATCACGGACAGATTCATATTATACTAGAGTTCTTTTCTCGGAGACCGGAGCTTCATTGACATCTTTTGCACCTGCGCTTCGAGGATTGGATCTGGATGGTGAGGAGCTCAGACCGTTTTCCAGCACCAAGTCGCTTTTGTTCGACGCGACTAGTG